CCTCTATATCCCCTTCCTCTCCCCCTCCGCCTCTCTCATCCAATCCCCCTCCGTCCGCTCCGGCGCCATCGTCCGCATCTCCGCCTCCCTCCACCTTTCCCCCAACCGCACCCGCATTAACCTCATCTGGAACCGCGGCCTCTACGTCCAAGGCTATTCCCCCACCGTCCACCCCACCACCCCCATCGATCTCGCCTCCCGCACCACCATCGACCTCCTCTCCGCATCCGCAGACATCTCATCTAAGCCCCTTCCAACCTGGTTCCGATCCGCGCACGGTTCAATCAACGCAATAACATGGGGGTTCTTCATCCCCGCAGGCGCGATGGCTGCACGCTACTTGAGGCAATGGCCGGGCATTGGATCAGGATCGACCTGGTTCTACATCCACGCGGCAGTTCAGATCTCGGCGGTGGCTGTCGGATCGGTGGGATTTGGGTTTGGGGTTGCGATGGGGAATAGGGTTTATGTTCTGCATCGGGGATTAGGGTTTGCAGTGATGACGGCGGGGGGTTTGCAGGCGGCGGCGATGTTTTTCCGTCCTGCGACCACGCACAGGTATCGTAAGTACTGGAAATCGTATCATCATCTGCTGGGGTACGGGTTGGTGGTGGTGGGAGTAGTGAACGTGTTTCAGGGGATGGAGATGATGGAATTAGGGCGATCGTATGCGAAGCTGGTTTATTGCTTGGCGGTGGGGACGATGGGTGGGGCTTGTGTGGCCCTTGAGGCGAATGGGTGGGTGCTTTTCTGCAGGAAGGCGGAGGAGGAGAAGGTTAGAAGGGAGGAGGGAGGTGAGAGACGGCGGTTTCCGGCTGATGTTTGCGGCGGGGACGGTGGAGAATCGGCGAAGGGGTATATGGGTGTTTAAGGCTGTGCTTGGCAGCATATTAATGGCGGATTTAGCTACGGATTCAGTTTAAATCACTCTTAAATCCGACTACCTGAAACTTGCTATTTACAAAACCGCCACCTTGTTTCATCCATTTTTCGATTTCTTACTCAAATATCAAGATTTATGGTAAAAACCCAATATTTTTTATTTTTATCAAATTCTCAATAGTTTGATAGTGGTAGTTCTAAAATATCACGTGGAGGTTAATTTGTAAATATTAATGTTTAGGATGATTTATATGTAATTATCGCTAAAATGTTTAAGGAAGATTAGAGATCTGTATGTAATTATCCCTAAAGTTTTTAAGGAAGATTAGAGATCTGTCAATTAATTTCTATGTATTATATATTTATAATATAGCACTATAATTAATTGTTGCAAATAAGTATAGTTCATAAATTGCTGCCGACAATTATTTATTTATTTATATGACAGGCTCGTTTACATAACTAACATCTAAAATTTAATATATATATATATGTCACCTTATTTTTAAAAAGTTAAGTTAGCTGTTGGATTTGTAAATATAAGAATTTGGTGGTACTTATGTAAATTTTCTTTTTTTTAAATATCAGGCCCAGCCCCTTTAAATTTGGGCCAGTGCAAAAACACACGAACTAAGAAAAAGAAAAGCAAGACTATGAAGGGCGGGTCCACCAAGTAGGATTGAAAGTCCATCAATGAACTTAATTGACCCGTATTGATCCCATGGATTAGAACTCGAAGTAGACCAGACACAGGCCGTTTGAACCAAAGAACAAGCGGATGGTGTGTAAATATACATGTAAATACATAAGAGTAGGTTGGCATGCCTTGACATGCTCATTTTTCTAGACACTTGTATATTATTTACAACTCATGATCAAGTCGACATTCTGGGAATATTTTTAGAGATATCAGGTACGTTTGAGGCAACTTGTGCGTTTCAGGATAAGCTATTTATACTGAAATGCAGCCCGCAGCCTGTATTTAGTGTAAAAACTCAAATGTGATTTCAAATAAGCTGGCGAAACGTACGAACCAAACGTTACGGCGGTGTTTTGAAAACGCCGCCTGCACTATAACCTGCCCCAAACGGGCCCTTAGTCTCTTGACAAAAGAAATGGCTTTGGACATCTCAACAAAACCAAAATGAAGACATATCCATCATTTAACTATTTTTATAAAAAGTGGAATAAAAGGCATTTTTGAAAAATAATATGAAAATGGAAGGATATAGCCGTCTAATAGCTTATCCTCAAAAGATATTAAGTGGTGGAAAATACTTTAAACTATTAAAAGAAATATCCAAACGTTTGGGAATATTTGGAACCTTAAATTACCTCTACTTAGATTCCAATAATTTTCATGCTTTTTATAATATTTCACATTTTTTAATATAATAAAAAAAGTAGATATAATTAAATATTTTGTTGGGAAGGTCTAATACTTGGCTTTCCCATCATTATATTATTTCATTTTTAATTTAAATATACATTATCATTAATTTTTTTTATAATCATGATATAATTAAATATTTTTTATAATCTTTTTGTTTTAAAAATTAAAAAATTAGTTTTTTTTTTCATAAATTAGTAATATTTTTAAGATTATATGTTAATTAATCTATTATTAAATAATAAAACAAAAATTTTCTAAAATGATGATTTAAAAATGTGATATATTGCCTATTATTGATTAGTTAATAAGTAGACTAATGATTTAGATTAATTGACGATGAATTTATTAAATAGAATGGTAATTAGGGCTATAAACGAGTCGAGCTTGAGTGAGCTCAGGCTTGGCTCGTGTTCGGCTTGTTCAAATTGCTCGTGTTTGAAATTGACTCGTGAATAGTGTGTTCGTGTTGGACTCGATTTAAATATTTGTATTCATGTTCGTGTTCGGCTTGCGTTTGGCTCGTTAAAATTAAACTGAAAAAATAGATGTAGAGTGTTGGATTCGAACCTGAAACAAATATATGCAAAACATGGTGCATAACCACATTACCACAATAGTAGTTATAATTTAAACTTAAATATAAATATATATAATATAAAATTATATAAATAATATGTGTAATATATTTTTATATAAATAATTATATAATTTTT